TGTCATACACTAAATATTCTCAAAGATTAAAAAACAACAACTTTAGTTCATTAAAATGTTAAGATTTATTATTATGATTATTTGAAACAGAAAATACAGAAACCATTGGCTCTCATGTTCGCGTGTGAAATCAGTGATCCTTGGTTCGAGTTCCGCATGCGAAGTCGTGAATGCACACTCCTGAAAAGTCCCATACTGGTACGAAACAACCATCCAGGTTGTTAGTGATGGTTTAGATTGAAACAACTCATAAATTCAACTATTAAAATGAAACACAGGATATGGAATGTGTTTTTTTGTTGTTTAATTAGATACTACTTAACGAGTTACCATATGATTATAGGTTTCACTTTAAATTTTACATCATAAATGTTAATTTTAACAAACCAATATATCACGCTTATTATCAAATATAATTACTATATTACTCAGTTAGCTTATAATGGAATCTTATCAGTTCATTCGTTGTTGTTTTTTAATAATAAGAAATTGACATTTCAATATTAACGAATCACTTTAATATTGGAATAACATTAATTAAAACGAAATAGATTTAACAAACTATATACTATACTAGATAGTTGAAGTTAGAATTCAATACCAATAACTACTTATATAGGTTATATTCATCACTATTTGATCATATTTCAGATACTATTAAAAACCTTTTTGATTAACGTATGTAATTGCTTATCAATATACACCTATAATCATTCCAGTGATCGAACTTAAAATCTCTACATCTCACATTTAATATTATAAACCAAATTTATTTAATTTACACTTTTAATTTTCATTGATTGAAATCATGAGTCAACTGAAGTTAGACCACCATGGAAAACCTGGAAGCACTGGATGACCGTTTCATCCTAGTATGGCGCTGCTCAGCAGTGCGCATCCACGATCCTGCACCCCGCGAGATTCGAACCCAGGACCTATCGGTCTTGCGTCAGGCGCTTAACCTTGAGGCCACTTAGCTGACCGGTATCCAAGGGTGTTAATATCTAACTTCACCCAATCCATGAAGTTGCGCCACCGTACACCATTGTCTTCAGTGAGTTGATATCTCACAACATACCTGGTTGAACTCCACTGGTAACGGCTTCTCACTAGAACTCCAGGAGTATCTCCTGAAGTCAGTCACTTGTCAGCAGAGGATTAGTATCAGAAGGGATTTTGTGAAGATTTTAGAAATTTCACTGATTGAAATCATGAGTCAACCGAAGTTAGACCACCACGGAAAAACTAGAAGCACTGGACGGCCATTTCGTCGTAGAATGGGACTCCTCAACAATGCGCATCCACGATCCCGCACCACGCGAGATCGGAACCCAGGACCTATCAGTCTCGCACCAGGCGCTTGACTTGTTATTTTGTTTTTGTGTTTGTTTGTTTGTTTTTTTTCTAGAAAAAAACATGATATAGAATTGAATATTCGAAGTAAGATACAATGTGATATTGTTGGAATGGAATCAATTGTGCAATAATAACAAAACAGATGTTTGGCTCCCATAGATTTTTCATGATTTGTTTTTATTTCTAAGACAGATGTAGATATGTGTTATTTCATTTTTTTTTCTTTTATGTTTATCAGGTTGTTATTTTTTTTTCAACTAGAAATTCTGTCAACATTTATTTTTTGTGTGCGTGCGTGCGCGCGTGTGTGTGTACGTGCGTGTGCGTACGTGTGAGTGTATTCTTTAGTTTACTCTTTTCAATTAACTATTACCTCTTTTTAAACTATCAAAATGAAATGAATCATTAATATAACTTAGTTAGAAACTACTTGTACATTTGAAACTGTATCAAAGTTTTTATTCTTTTTAATGTTTATTTCTGTTACAAATAAAAGAAAATTGATTATATTAGTTTATGTAAAAATCATTTTAAAAAATATTATCGTAGTCATCACCTTAGTGATAAAATTAATTATCCAGTAAGTGATAGATACATAAAAAAAATTATTTTTTTCTCTCGAAAAACTAGATCAATAATCAAATATGATCAATAAATTGATTAGTTGTTTTTTTTTGTTGAAATTCTTTAAACGGTTCCCTGTTTACTGTAAGTACTGAATATAAAATCCAATGATATAATTATATTTCTCATCTAGACAGTAAATTTATGAATTATGTCATTTATAATTTATGTTAACTACACTTAGTTTTAACAGGATATTTACAATCCCATTGTAATTTATGATTTCTTTTTTTTATCAACTATCAATCAAACTTTGAACAGTATTTGTCTTTGTTTCACTGTACAATAGCAAGTAACTATTTGCGATCGTAGTCAGAACAAGTTACATTATCAATAGTTTTATAGATCTTCACAGTTAGATTAAAAGAAAAATACTGTTCTAAAAATATTTAGTTTTCATTGATTTATTGAAGCAGGTCTGGATCGGGGTCTATGTTGATGATATTTGTGTATACTGTTGTATCCCGATAAGAATAGTGAATGGTAATTTTTGGGATCCATTTATAGAACAATATTATGAGTGCATTTTTTCCGTATAATTGCTATGTAACTAAACTGTTCATATTTATGTCCCTCTTATTGTGAGCTTTGTTTGACCTATGAACTATTATTATACGATTTACCATTCATGAATTATTCTCTGTCTGTTAATCGCTACCTCCCTCATTCACAGTCTTATCTGGCCAATTCTTGTACAGATGTTGTTTCATATTTTATTGGTACGTTGTGGTCGGTTTGTTTGGTATATAAACTCAGTATGCTTGAAATATAATGATTCATATCTCAGAGGCTGAGACTTGCGTTCTGGACTCAACTGGATGGGCTAGACAAGGAAGCGGGACCAATCAGGACTCTAGACCGTTCTTACGTGTTTACGCGTCTTTGGTCCAACTGATAAATTCGCTGCGCTCTAATCTGCAATCAAAGTCACAACATATACTTATTCAATGTTTCATTTATAAAAATAATTAAATAGCTTCCAAGTTATTCTATGTACGGTAATATTTTACATTATTTATTAAACAGATATCTAATGAATACACAATACACGGTTATAAGTAATTAGTAGAAACCCCTCAAACACTAGTTTTATACTCGTTAAAACATACTACTAAAGTAGGCTATTTACATGTCCAATCATGCGTTATCTTCTAAAAATGTTCAAACATACTAGTCATTTAGACTGGTAACCATATGGTAACATAATCAATAAAGTCTGATTATTTAAAAAATATTAGAAAAACAAGATAGTAGGTACTTATTGTTAAATAAATAATCAGATAAATGAAATTCGTATACTGATGTAGTTATTTATAACATTATAATTATCAGTTTGACTAGCTATTCCATTCGGGATTTACTTCAATCATTTTTTTTCTATAAATTAGCTCTGTGAATTGAGCAATTTGATATGCAGTGCTTGCATTAACAAGTTAACTTTATTTTCATATCATAGTTCCATATAGATAAGTTTCTATTGGAACAAATTCTAGCTACTGTGATCCAATAGGTTACTGGATATCGCCTAAGTAGTTAAAGCTTTCAGTTTCAGTATGATTACCGATTATTATTGTTATACAGACACATTCACTTGACAAATTTTAGGTAAGATGAATTATGCGTTATGCAAAACATTTTTAATCACTATCCATATTACATAACAACACAAATAGGTTTCATTCAAATATAAATCAAAGTACAACAAAAAATACATCCTACCTTGAGGATACACTATTATAAGTCAATATCAGTCGAATAATTTTATCAAAGCAATCTATCAATTAATTAGTAAACAGTATTCTAATACTTGACTCCATGAATCTATCTTCACAACTCTCTCTCTTTTTAATTAATAGTAGCTCGTATGTATACAAACAACACTGAAACAGTAGAAATATACTAAAAATGACTAATTGACATTTTTTCAGAAACTGTTTAACTAACTTACATTTTTTATAGCTTCAGACAGTAATGACATTGTATATTATAAAGGGTTATTTATTTCAATAGATTAAATCATGAGTCAATTGAAGCTAGACCACCATGGAAAACCTGGAAGCACTCCAAAGCCGCTTCGTCCTAGTATGGGACTCCTCAGCAGTGCGCATCCACGATCTCGCACCTCGCGAGATTTGAATCCAGGACCTATTGGTCTCGAGCGCGAATGCTTAACCTATAGACCGTTGAGCTAGTTAGCATCCAACGGTGTTAATGTTTAACTTCAAGCAACTTATTTTCAGCTTATAAATTAAAAGTTGTTAACTACACTGTATTGAAGTGTTTTTTCTCATTTAAATCTGTCGATTTGTATAGAAAGAATTTAAGTACAAAAACCTATGCGATACCTTTTAACACTATTCATAATTCTTTATTAAGTGATATAATTGAATAAATTTTTACTTTTAACAGATATACTACTTATAATATTATTATCAACATTACTGAGATTATTTATTGTAATATAAACCAAAATCAAAGAATAAAATAATAATAATAAAAAATAAAATGAACAAATGAACAAAGTTCCTTTTTTATTATCTACATTTAATTTAAGCTGAATAAACTTTGCTTTACTATATCATTTCTTATTTATAACAAGTAATAGATATTAAAGAAGAGATTATAAAGAGGAATACAAGACAAAAGGCAACTTGCAGAGACAAAAGTTCCGTGTAAAATGATCCAAGATTCCTCTTTTCATTTATGTATTAACATTTAGACAAATAATGAAATATTAGTGATGATAATATGACTAGTAATAATAACCGAATATATATAGATAAATAAACACTTGTACCCCCAAAAAAAATCAATCACTGAATATAGTTTATACAATTAATATTGTTTATATTGTTTTTCTTTTTATAGAATAATCACTTAGCAACAAGAAATTTTGAACGAGAATCAGTTATGTATCAGACAACATTTTAAAAAAAAGTTACTTAAACAAATAGATTGACAGAGTTCAGTTCATTGTTTGTTTGTTTGTTTTTGTATTTTTTCAATAATGGTTATTATATTTATTTTGCTATTTGTTTATCAGGATGAAATTTTTGTAAATTTAAAATTAATTGAACACCTTCAAGACAATCTTCAACTTCAAATGTTGGTAAAACAAGATCAGCTGCACCTTGAAAATCACGATGACAATAATGTACTCTTGTTCTATCTGTTGGTTTGTATACACCAGTTCTAACTAATACAGCTTGTCAAAGTAGAGAAAATAAAACAGGTTAAACAAAATTTAAGTAGGTAAAAGTCTAATAAAATGTTTAATTTTTCAATATATTAAGTGTTCTTGTAAATTCTTAGTCCATTTTTTCAGTGATCTGAATTGAGAAACCTATGCTAAAAGCTAGAAACGAACTATTATCATTCTACATCTTTCGACTTCCCCCAAATGCCCTGGTACGACCGAGGGTGAAGAAAGTCAGCTTTCTCTCTCACATGGCCACGCGTGTACAACCACTGACAGAAAACTTCTACTCACTGACATTTCACAGCAAGGGTGTTGTTTACGAAATGGACAGAACGAAAACAGAAGGTCCGATGCTTTAACCGGGTTGGTGGACACACAGGGTTTACCAGGAAAACCATGATTTCAAACCAATGGTGTACATGGGCTTTAGAATCCCGAGGGAAAAATGGGGTATGAACCAATCGTTGGTCACCGGCTACCATGAGACTGCATCTCCTGACGTTGCACTACTGCTTGTGGATCAGACCTTTAGGTCAAAGGCTCCAGGTGTGGCCCCATTAAAATGACCACCTGCTTCGATTTGGGCATGCAGATAGTCTCACAGCTTACACATAAACCAAGTGACTTGTGTAGCGCATATGTATTTGGTTCCCGTATGTACCAATATTTATGTGGTCATATAAATAAATAACTGTACCACTATTATGACCAATAAATTGAGAAAATTATCATACGGAGCGTTCGTAAAAAACTAGGACCACATTTAATTTAAAACATGCTATTCTCTTTCATAAATTGTACTTTGAATATAGTCTAAGAACTTGTTCAACAATCATGGAGTCTGTAACAATTTCGCTACAAAACAAAATATTTAATACTTTTAAATAACTCATTGAGTTTAATGAGTCAACCCTACTTGATTTTTAAAATAAATCATCATTACTTTATCAAAACACAACTTACAATCAATTCCTTTAGCAGTTTGAGGAAGAAACGCTGCATCCGGTGGTACAGTACGTGATTGTGCTACCGACACTTTTTTATATTGACTATGTCCTTCCGTTGGAGACTTATCACCACCGGAGACATGACGAAATCGACGTAAAAAATTATTGTACAGATTTGAACCCAAAACATCAACATCTGGATTATCACTGAGTGAATAAAATAAGTTTTTAAAAAAATCACATATCGAAAAGAAGTATTGAATTATGTATATTAAATTATTAACTACAAACTTACAAATTAACACAAATATAGACATTCAAAGAAAAAAGCTTTGGACTCCACGTACTAATACCTATGTAGATTTATGAGGATATGACTAAACTTCATTGATTTACTTCTACAAAAAAAAACAGCCTGTGTAACCGACCGAGGTCGCCTGTATCAGCAGTAAAATAAATATAACCAACATCACTGAATAGCCTTCTAATAATATGACGAACTGACTTCAGTTTAAATTACAAATCATTGGATTCAAAATCGATGGTCTACCGGTATTATTGCATTTAATATAAGACTAGATTGTTCCATTTCTATCCTATGTAAAAATTATGATTTTTAATTTTTTAAAGTTTTAAAATAGAACAATTGATATCAATTTTTAAACAAAACAAACTTTCAAGTTTTTAAACTATGTAACAAATTGAAGATTACCTGAAACTGAAGTACATTCTTTCCTAATAAAAATAAGCTACAAACTCTTTCCTTTTACTATAAAATTTTATAAAACTAATCTAAATCAATCAATAAACATAAAACTATCTACATGGTCTATACATTTGAATCGTTAAATGTATACTAGATAGATCAAATTAAAGATAATAAAAACAAGGTAGTTTAAACAAGCTGATTAAATAATTTACAAACGTCTTACATTCACTTAAGGTATTTATATTGTATGAGTTAATTGAAACAAAAACAAACCTATTACATAATCAGTACAAAGACTCTAAGTATTACCTTACTAATGTAGTGAAGGAGAACACAGGTGAAGACAAAATTACAGAGTTATTTGGTAAAATAGAAAAACCATACTATAATACTTAGTTTGCAAAATGTTCAATAATTCTCTCGAACTTCATTGTTCTTGCATTTCCATACTAATTGCTTTCTATTCCCGCTCTTCTTTTCTGGATCTTCCCAATCTTCTGCTGCCAGACATTACATTCCTAACTCGCATCATATACTACTTACATCAATATAAGTAGCACGCACCACATTAACACTTATTAACCTTATTAACATTTAAAAATACAATTTACAATTCATTGTAACATTTAAAAAACAAAAAAATTTTATTTTTTTACTCTTTGTATTGATTGATTATTGCGTCATCCTTCCCCCCCGAAAAATCATTTTTTTCTACATCACTTATTGATTTTTTTGAACAGTTAAAAAAAATTATTTTTTAATTTTTCATTTATTATTCTCAGTGGACTTTTTTTCTTAATTTCAGTGAAGAAAAAAGGAAAAGAAAAGAAAGTTGGTCTGTCGTAGTTATAATTAAGTTTAATCGGACAATTTTATTAAAATTTATTATTGTAATCACTAGACTTTATTATGTAACTTATGTAACATAGCCTCGGCTGACCTCCTGTGACTACATCTCAGTCCTACAGGAGGTCAGTCGCGGTTCGGATAGCTCAGTGGTAACGTCTCTGACTGTGAAGCTGGGTGACACGAGACCGAATCCGCCAGGGAGCATCAGTTCCCTCGATAATACAGGTACACCTTGCTGACGAGTGCCAAGTAGCACGAAACCCGGGTCCAGGGTTTCCTATCGACTACCTTTAACCACCATCTGATCTCAACATAGTGAACGCAATTTCGAGTCAACTAGACTAGTAGCCACATTGCAACTAGGTCTACAGCATTCGATCTGCACTATGAAGGATTCGGCACACATGACATTGATTACCACCCAGTGATCAATCAGTTGTGATTACATTATAGGTCCTGGGTTCGAATCCTGAGAGGCGGGGTCGTGGGTGTGCACCACCGAGGAGTCCCACAATAGGACAAAACGGCTTTGGAGTGCTTCCAGGTTTTCCATGGTGGTCTAGCTTCGACTGACTCATGATCTCACCTGTTTAAATTTTATTATTATTATCATTATTATTATTATTATTACTATTTGAGATTATTGTATGCTTCAATAAATTTTGTATTCAAAGCTGGTTAATTACCCCCTTTTCTATTTGTTTATCTATCGATCAGTCTACTTGATATGCTTTCTTTGATTGTCTATCTATTTAACTATCTATCTATCTATCCATTTATCTTTATCAACCAATCTATACAAACCATTAACATCCTCTGGATGAAGACTACTAGCATTTATATACATATAAACATTTGTAGTCATGACAAAAAAGGTGACAAACTCGAGATTTCTATGGGACTATTCTTTATTACTATTATTGTTATTATTTTAAATTAAGAGTTTCTTTTTTAATTTCTTACAATTATCGAAATGGATAAGTGAGGAATTAATTTAATTTAAAAAAGGAAAAACTTCTCTAATAGATGAAAATGTAATACAAGAAAGTAAAATAGATGAGATTGTAAGCAATGATGGATAGTGGCTAGCAGTGGAATTCAGGACGCGCGTTTCGTCCTATTTGGGACTCGTTAGCTGGATCAATTGCAGTCCTAAACCTCAGTGGGAAGATGCAAGCAAAACAATACCAAGTGAATTTAGATTTTTGTTAGCGTGTATGTGTAATTATATTACATCCTGTATTCTATTGGATCTTGGAAAAAAAATTTGAATAACAGTTTCGAATAAGAGAAAGAGCTTAGAAACAAAGAACTATTTGATTTATTAGTAGTGATTAGGAATATTTTTGTTAGGTTCGAAACCTAGATGGTACTGTAGTGAACGAGAATACCAATGGGGACAAATCAATGCATTTAAACGCAAAATTACAAAATCTCTTAGTAAAGTCTGAGTACCATACAGTAAATACTTCATTTGCAAAATGTCAATCAATTGTCTCAGACTTGATTGTTTCTTCGTTTTCACACCAATCATTCTTTGCTCTCGTTCTTTTTTCTTCGATCTTCTTAACCTTGTGCCGCCAAGCATTTCACTTTCGATTGATGATACATACTACTTATATCTGTCGGCGTCAGTAGCATACACCACAGTACTACTTTATTTGTTTAAAAATTACGAAATGACATTACAAAACACTAGTAGACTAAACTTGAATTACTGGATACCAACCAATCAGCTAAACTAAAGAGTCAATGGAGATAAAGTGGAACGATATTGCCTATACATTATCTATTGGGACATCTTGACTATCAAACTGAGAACGGATATTTCTTAATGAAGTGTCAGAAAAAAAGCGTTTGTGTTAGAAGTATTATTGATTGAAGATTTTGACCAAATAGTTCAAGTGATAACCAACAGTGATTAATCAATTACCACTATTAGTAAACTATTAGTCTAATCTTTTCAAACATTGCAATCAACATCATTAATTTGTGAAACAAGGGGAATGTATTAATTATAAGATGGATTATTTTGAATCTTGGTTGGCGTTTTTTTTTCAAGGTTGTTTCTACGGGGTGGGGTCGCTAAACCATTCTCGATTATCTGAGCTTGGGACTGACAGTAACACTAGAAGGGCTTCAAATGGTTAACATCAGAGTAAGAATTGCTAATACAAACATCAAGACAGTTCTGTTGTATAGAGCTGAAAGTTAGAGAATTACCACGAATAATATTGGAAACGTACAGGTATTTATGAACAGTCGCCTACGCAAGATATTCCAGATCATTTAATCAAACACAACCACTGCAGCAGAGAGAAAACCAGATTCCAGATGGAAACGAAATTAAGACACTGAAGGTGATTGAGACAAATACTACAAAAATCATCAAATTAAATCCCAAACCAAGCCCTAACTCGAAATCCTCAAAACGTGAAGAAACGAGGAAGATGAAAGAACACATTACACCGAGTATCGAAGGCAAACATCCAAAAAGTGGACAGCACATGGAAACAGTTAGAAAGAAGAGCCCAGGACAATGTTGGCTGGCGAATCCTGGCCGACGGCCTATGCTCCACGAAGGGTAACAGGTGAAAGTAAGTAACTTTAAATTCTATATGCCGTCCACAGGAAAATAGCATAGTATTCACCAATGATTGATATTCGTTGATATGTCATTGAAAATCCGGAAGCATTGTGTATGAATATATACATCCACAAACATACAGCTTCCTTTGATGGTGATAAAAAAATAGTACCATCATACTATATACACTAACTTTGCACCTTATTAGCACAAAATCCTAATCGCTGACATATTGAAGTCAAAGAAAAACAGTTTTAAATACTGTTAAATTTAGTAACATATTGACCTATATGATTAACACGTTTGCTAAAGGATATGAATCAATAGGAAAGCAAGAAAGTGATAGATCATTTATAAATATCGAAGAAAGTAAGTTAATCAATAACAAACTAGAACAAAATAATAAAAACACAAAACATACGTTGAATCAACTCATTTACATAATCCATATTAGTGTTCTTGACTTTAAACCACACTTAAAGTATAAGAATTAGTAATACTACTTGGTTACTTAAATCGAAGTGAATGGAGTAATATTTGAGCCTGTGACATAATGGTTGAAAGTTAAACAGTTTAATCATTGAGCTTCCTCTCTAAAAACCTCTTTTTACTCACAGGCATCAAACAATAAATAGTTTTGATTACACACGATGTTGTGAATATATAGTCGAATTTCATGAAATATGTTGGCATTAAATTTTCCTAATTCAGTATTATGTTAGTGTCATTGATAAAACAAATTTATACAGTTCCCTTCATTTAAACAAAATGATAACAATCACGTTTACTCTTTTGTTATAATACAAAAAATTATAATGAGACAATATTTAGAAAGTTTCTCAGCCTAATTAGTAGATATGAATTCAAAAGTTTAAAATGATTTTCAGTAAAACTATCATTCTTTATACATTGAGTTTACTCTAATGATAGTTACTTGTAAATGATAAACTACATCAATATCAGTGCTATGTTTGAGGAGATTATAAGTTCGCCTTATCAACAAACGGAATGAAGACTCAGTGACAGAATGACCGAATAACCTAACTATTAGAATGTGCTCCA